ATTTCAACATTGGTCTCATCCTGCCTGACGATTCCCTGGTTTAACGCCGCTATCATGGCCACAACTTCTTCTGGACTCTGTGCCATCACAGTCTTCTGAGTTTGAACAAAGGTGATGCGATTGGTGACTGTCGGATCAGTTGGACCGGTGAACCCTGACTAGTCTTTCTTTGCCTTTCCACTGGCGAAGGAAACACTGGTTGCCCTTTTGAACTGAATCTCTGTTCTAACAAAGTCTATCAACACAATTCCAATGTACCCGGGGGGTATCGAAGCCTTCTGAAGCTATGGTTCCAAGACTACCTCCTTGAAAAAGAGAAAACAGACAGCATCTCAGCCTGATTTCACCAGAACAAATATGAGCAGAGCTGAATGACTGTGCTCTCTACTGAATTCTGCCCAAAATTCTGCCTGAAAACTGATACCCTCAGGCCGATACTCAGACTTGCAACTGATACATATATTCCTGCAGAGTTTCACTCTAAAAGCATGCATCAAGCAAGTGAGAGCCAAAACACCCCTATGGTGGGGTAGGGTTTCCCTGTTCTATTTTGTCAGGAGCTGGGGTTTCACTATGCACGCAGCGGCTTCAAACAACCTACATTCGAGTAAGCGGCCGGTCCTAGGAATGGTCTCTATGGCTTCCGATATGCGACTAGGCCGAATGGTCGAAAAGGGTGCCTCGGTAAAAACTGAGGTTTGTGTTTCCATCGTGGCAGAGCCCATAACCGGTCGGCCTTATGGCACGCTTTTCCAAGCAAGTCTTCAGCAAACCGTTCAGGAATAGCAGATGGCAAACACTGTGACTTAAGAGCACCAATGCAAATGCAATGCAAAGAAACACATAAGTGTAGACAAAACAACATATCACGAGTTCGAGTCAAGTTCTCTAAATCCCCAGCAAAGTTGCCAGAAACTGTAGACCGCCCCGAACTCTCTCCGCTCGGCCCCCCTTTTGGAGAGGGCGCGAATTGGGTTCTAGCTGCTACAACTCAGACTCCTATCACGGTTCTGAATCTAATCTCATAAAGTGCAATGTAAGACTAATAAATCACCAAAGAGTCCAAATCCGGCAAATTGTTTTGAAAAGTCGATTTTAATCAAAAAACGTCAAACATGGACTGCTTTGCCAGGTTTCAGAGTCGCCACCTAAATATTTTATTTTGGAAAATTTAGGAAACCCTGACTCGTGCCTAAGGCCACGTGTCCGTCATCACCAAAGTTGTCTCAGCTCGGGAACTTGGGTACGAGAGGGGAAGGTCCTGAAATGAGCACCCCCGCTCGCCCGATCAAAGGATCGGTCTCTACTAAACATGATATGCTATTTTGAAAACACATGTGTTCTTATTCCAGTTTATTAGCTAACTTTACTATGTGATGCGCACAACATACAAGTATAGACTAAATCACTCAATTTGGAACAAAACATCTCATGTTCATTTTTCGAAAATGGTTTGGAAGTGCTACTCGCAAATAGGCTAAAATGCGGATTTAACACCCTCAAGTGGGCTTAAAACAACATGATTTGCCACTCCGCAAAGTGGGCTTAAAACTCACATTTAATGAATTGTTCAAATTCAAGCAATAAAGCCTTCACCCACAGGCATTCATGCAGTTAAACACTTAAGCAAATAGCCTCATGGAAAGCATGCTAAACATGGCAACACTCACACTCATGCAAGTATGTTAAAGCGTAAACACTTACAGTGTACTCCGAGCCAAAACAGAAAACTAGTTAGAAATCATGTATGATCCTAGCTATGTCGAAGATGCCTAATGCAATGCATGCAATAATGTAACTAATAGGCTCGGCTATCTAAGATGGCATATGAATGCAACACTTGATAACATTCTTTGGAACACGTATTCAAGAAAGTGTATTAAAATACGTCGCAGTTTGAATGATGCGCCGAGCTCGGTGCCTGCAAGACAAATGAACGATGCACGTATGAAAAGCATAAGGTATGCTAATTGAGATATGCCCTAAACTAACCATCAAAAGCGGATAAGTAAAAGGGAGAAAGAAATGGGGGTTTGAAGACATGCACACACGCATGCACCCTTATTACAACATTGTGCCCTCTCGACGGAGGGTCCGAATGAATAAAAGCTAAGCTAATCTACTAACTAATTAACTAAATAGCTAATTAATTACAACACAATTGAAATTAAATAACTAGCTAATCTAAGCTAATTAATTACAAACCGAATTAATTAATTAAACGCTTAACTAATCAATTACAAAAATGACTAAGCTAATAAACTAATTAGCTAAGCAATTGGAATGAACAGCCTCGGGAAGCGAGGAGGATATGCATGCTCGGTTGGCTTCACCCCGAAAATCCACCGCCTGGCCTCAAGATGCCTCTATTTGCACTCTTTTGGACCTCTGAAAATTGTGCCAACTTCCAGACTGTTTCTATTTGATCGCAGGAACATGTTGAGGGATGATCGGCTAGAAGTGATGGCCATTGGCCAGTATTGGTGGCCGGTCAGCTGGCTTGGGTGGCCAATCGGCTAGGGCATGTGGCCGGTCGGCCACTAATTCTTGAAATTTTTCCTTTTGCTGCAACAGTGCACAAACAGAGGCATGGCAATATATTTGCAAAGAAATGTGTGTGCAACTACCCTCCTTATCCTGTTTCAAGCTCAAAGGAGCGTAGTACTAGACTCTCAAGCCACCAACCATGCATCTCAATGCATGATGGCCGAAGACTCAAGCTTGCACAATGTTAGTGAATGCACAAACAACACATAAGAGCCTCCACCTCTATCATGCATGGTCAAGAGGGTCGACAACCAAGAAATGTGGCACGTTTCATCACTTGGAGTATGAAACATCTCACATTTCTTGTGTTTGGATTAACATCCGATCCAAACACAATGCAATGCAAACAACATGCTGATCTTTAAATGCTAAAGCGGCATGCACAAGACTCAATCATGCAAGCAATGCATGCAAGACATGTTAAAAGGGGCCAAGAGCACTAAAGCAAGTGAAGAACATTACTCATGAGGCATGCACTATCAATCTCAAATGGTCAAACCAGCTAAGCACAGACCATATATACTCCAAAACAGTGGCCAAAACACACTAAAACTTAGGCACAAAAAGTAAGAAATGCATGCTCATTCATTCGCTTGCAAGCAAGGCACAAAGCTTAACTTTCAAACACATTGAGAGAGTGATACATATGAGAGTATGACAGTGAAACATGCTCTGAAATCACATATCAAATGATGACATATCATGAAAACATCACAAGTAAAGCATGCTAGGGGCCTCAAACACAGAGCTATTGAAACCCAACTACACTATAGCTATACAAAGCTAAGCATATATGACTAAGACCACTTAAAACAGACCTCAAGCATGTTAAATCAGTGGCAAAAATGTGCTGGAGCAAAGCTAACACATGCTAGGATGATGAGCTAAAACCTTAGGCATACAAGGCTAGTAAGCAAAATTACACTACAAGTGTAAGATGCAAGCAACAAGTGACCAAGACAGCCCAAAATAGAGCTTAAACATGTTAAAATATAGGCTAAAACATGCTTGAACCAAGCCTACATTAACCACAAAAACAAGCCACTTTGGAATGCTAACAAGGCATAGCAAAGAGATACAAGGAGGGGAGGCCAACCCCTGCTACTTTGGACCTCAAAACAGGTTTTCTACCACTGAAAATCCCCTGGAGTTCAGTGGTTTTAAGGCCAAAAAAGAATTGTTTCAAATTCCTCAAGAGATAGCACAAAGCATAGCAAACAAGCCACAAAAGAAGGGGGAGGGGACACCCCTAACCCCAACAAGGCCTTAAACCACTATTTTTAACACTTGAAAACATAGGTTTTTACATTTGAAACTTAGGCCAAAAATAGCATGCAAAGGTGGCAAATACTTAAGCAAAACAAAGCTTAAAGAGGGTAACTACTCACCCTTGAAGAACCACAGCAAAACATGCATTTCTGAGCCAAAAACCAAGCTTTGAGAGCTCAAATAAAACCTCCAAGAGCCTCAACAACAAGATAGAGGTGTTTGATTAAGAGTCCCTTTGCAAAAGTGTAGAAAAATCCCACTTTCAAGCACTAAAATATATATAGAGAGAGAATTCTAGAGAGAGAGAGGGAATTTTCAGCTCTAAAAATTTTGGAACCCCTGGAAAGGGGGAGGCACCTCCCCTTATATAGAACAAGCAAGCCAAAGCTTCCTTGACAAGCTAGAATCTTGTTTGAATGCATGCATACACGTGTATGGAGGATACATTCAGTGTGCAACAGCTAACACATAAAATATCTGAAAAAGTAGAAAAAGTTGCCCTCGGCCAACACTTGTGGCCGACTGGCCATTAATAAGGTCGACCGGCCATCAGTGAGGCCGACCGGCCACCATTGATGGTCGATGGGAACAAGGCCTAGCCAATGGGTTGTAGGGCTGGCCAAAAGGCCACCATCTTCCCTCAAAAACAATGCCACAAGCTCTTGGTACACAACCAAGCACAAAACAGACAAGTTAAGAGGTCTGAAGGCGAGACACTCCACCAAGAACTTCAGGTACTCAAAATGAACACGAATTTGGATGATCATCGAGTGTTCAAATGATGACGTCCAAGTCTCGAAGACGGTAAAAAATGTGGTGTCTATATGTAATTTTTTTTTGTTTAAATTTATATCATAAAATTATTATTAACTTAATGTTGTTTATGATTTTTTTTTAAAACAAGAAATTATAATTAATAAGTGCCCCTTCTAACTTAATTTCCTAACTCTGTCACTGCGCGCTCACGCGCGCGCGCACACACACACACACATATATATATATATATATATCATGTAATTTAGAATTGAAATTACCACTATCCAAGACTCCAACAATGACATCTTTTCCATAGTTGGCTTTGTCCAATAGTTGTTGATTGTGTTTGTGATGGCGCGCGCGCGCACACACACACACACACACATATATATATATATATAAATCATGTTATTTAGAATTGAAATTACCACTATCCAAGACTCCAACAATGACATCTTCTCCATAGTTGGCTTTGTCCAATAGTTGTTGATTGTTTGTGTTGGTGAAATCATGTTGTCCTTGTTGTTCAAGCAAGTTCACAAAATCCCATGATCTTGTTGTTTGAAGACTGTATCTTTTGGGCTCGCTTTTGAAAACCGAAATCACTTCCTCCCTCTCTGTTAAAAAAAAATCCATTTCATACTAGGTTTGTTGGAACTTCTATAGTAAAATTCACAAACGAATTAGAAATTACATATACTAAACTAAACAAATAAAATAGTAAGCATAAAATTCAAGAACACAAAAATATTGCACTAAATGTAGAAGTAGAAAAGTTGGCCTCTCAGAGTCTAGAGTTGCGTTGTTAACAGACTAAAGCACATCCAAGGTAAAACTTTTTTTTTTTTTTTTATCAGCAAAAAATACTTTATTGATAAAAAAAATCACAATATATGCAAAATTTACATCAACAAAGCAGTGCACAAAGTATCATAGCTAACCTCAACAATCCCAACTAGGTTGACACCATAAAGAAAGCACAATCATTTGTGAGTACTTAACCCGAGATTGGTGAGAAATCAATCAAAAACAACCAAAGAAAGAAAGATAAAATACAGAACAGCAAGACAAGCAACAAATCCACAAAACAGCAACAGTAATTAACAAACAATGAGCTACCAACCAAGCCAGCAGCAGTAACAATACATCCAAGATAAAACTTAGTTTACTTATAGTATGTATCGTTCAGGTTCACGACCACTAAAAAATTTGAATGGAGAACACAAAACATTTTTCGTCCCCTCGTGAATGTGTTAAAAGTATAAGAAATTAAGGATCGTTTTGGTATGACTTATAAATTGATTTTTTTGTTTATTATGAAAATACGTGCAAAAAATTAAAGAGATGATGTAACTCAAATAAGCTAATAGATTGATTTTTTTAGATGTTGCAAAAGAGACCTAAGTTTTACTATAAAAAAATTTACGAACAAAAGTACTTTGAGTAAGGAAATATCGTTGTTGTAATTTTAATGATATGATTGGATATTTAGTAATAAATTACTATTTCGTCTAAAAACAGTAAACCTTTTAGCACAAAATTATTGTTCCTAAAATTGATTTATTCGCGACATTTTTTTAATTTGTTGCTATAGGTAATTTTTTCAACTTTTTCGGACAGCCTTTTCGTGAAAACTTACATCATGATTGAAAATGGTATACTAATGTTTTTGCAACATTTTTTTTTTTTTAATTTTAAAAACTTTTGGAGACGAAGGAGTTTGATCTCTAAACAATTCATATGTTGCAATATTATAAACTGAACGAGTTATAAGATAAATTTAATTTTTTCACAGCATTCCTTCAATAAAGTGGTGTTTTAGAAAGTTGGTAAAAATTTGACTTTTTGATTATTTTGTGATTTTTTGACTTTTTTGTGCTAAAAAGGTTAAAAAATCAAAAAACTAACTTTTTACCATTTACCCAAAACATCCCAAACTAAAGTCACCCAAAATATAATAAAATAAAGTAAATTGTCTCAATAGAAAAGGTAATAATCACACGGGTAGATGATAGGTTTTGTTGGTAAGCGGGATGAACAGTGATCAAATAACATCTTCCTTCTATTAATATCAAATAGAACTCAAATATCAAGTGCTAGTAGTGGTAGTAGTAGTAGTAGGGGGATTTGTACTTTCGAATCTCTTTTGATATATGTCTTTTTTTGTATCTTTAATTTCATATTTTTTATGAAATATTTCTTTGTCGATCATTTTTTGTTAAGGCACTAAACGGAAACTACACACACACAAAAAGGGGTATTTAACTAATTTAAATATGCTTATCATTCTTAAAATGGTTATGCAAAAGAAGTTTAAAATATTAACAATTATTTTTATTAAAAATATTAGGATAAATTACAAACATATCTCTTGAAATTTATTTACAATACGGATTGCCTTTTGTAGTTTTGAAAATTACAAATATTTTCTTATCAAAAAAATTTTATTTAACAGAATTAAAAGAAAAAATAAAAATCGTGACTGCCCTCATATACAACAATAAAATTACATAAATTGCTAATTGAAATATATTTTTGACATCATTAGAAATTGTTAATTGACTTCATAATAAATTAATAAAGGGGGATCATTCATTATGCGATTAGAAAGTTGAAGGGTGGGATGTAATTTCGAGAACTATAAGAAGTAATTTATATTTTAAACAAACTTCAAGGGATGTATTTGTAATTATAACATGGTTGTTTACCAGCTAACTTGGCAGCTTGATCTGGGGTGAGCCATGCAGAGAAGCCATTGATGACCTTCTTGTAACTATAAACCAGAGAAGCTTTAGCTTCCTGTTTGGAACTCTTTATAGATAGTAGATAGGAGTGATGAGCATCTTCAATTTCGTGATAAGTCTTTTCCCCGAGGTGCTCTCCAATGTAGACAATATAAACCTGTGATTATCCAAACAAATTTGAATAAAGCAATTCACATCAATTGATATATCAATTAATCTATTAATAAATGATATGATATAATTTTAGAAATTTTAGGTCTTTATAATTTGTATAATGGATAGGATCCATAGTTTTAAAATTGTAATGTTACAACATATATTGTTACACTAAGTGATATATTAAATTATGATTTTTCGGCAAGTAAGTATTGGGACACATTGGCATTATTTTCATTTGCTCTTCCCCAAAAGAGAACTCAATGTTAATTTGACACAAAAAATAATAATTATAATATTTTTAAAATTTCAAAAATTATTTTGGTCCCAAAAGGGGGAATCATATATGAAAATGATGATTTATTTTTTAAAATTTTTGGATAAATTACAAATACTCTATGCGACTTGGTTAAAATATTAATTACCTCTAGTGATTTTAGAAATTACATCTCACTCCTTAAAATTTCTAATTGCATAACAATTAACTCATTTCATTAATCAACCATTCAATTACTTCCTCTGCCCCAAAATATTAGTCATTTTTGGAGAATTTATGTTTTTTTGATAGTACAATTATTACACTTTAAAAATATTCACCATGTTTGTTTTCAGCTTTTTGAAAACCTTTTCAGAAAATTCTACTTCCTTGTTTTTCGTATTTTTTTTGTTTTTACTAAATTTTTTTAATATTTTAAGCAATTTTTTTAATATTTAGACACACCTAACATAAATGCATTTAAAAAAGTATAATTTTCATGAAACAAAATCTTTAAAAAATTCACTAAATAACAAAAATATAAAAATTCAGTATAATTTTAGTATTTTTGTGTATTCATTAATTTTTAAAAATATTTTTTCACAAATATTTTATTTTTTAGATATATTTAAGTAAGGTTTATCTAAAAAAAAATACTTAATATTTAAAAAATATTCACTAAAAACAAAAAAAAAAACAAAAAAAAAAACTTTATTTTTTCAAAACTGAAACCAAACACACTGATTAATTTTCGTAAACTATACTTTGATAATGCAATTATTACACTTCAAAAATATTACTGTTAATGAATTTAAAAAAAGGGAAAAATAGGAAATTCATGTCACTTTAATCCTTAATTTTTGAAAATGATCTAATATTTTGGGATAATAAAAAATGGAATAACGGACTAATATTTTGGGATGAAAGAGTAACAATTTTTAATGATGTTAGGAATATATTTCAATTAACAATTCTAATAATTTCATTGATATATAAGAGGATAGTTAAAAATTTTATTTTATTTATCAATTACGTTAAATGACAAATTTTGATATTGAAATATTTGTAATTTCTAGAAGCACAAGAAAACAATTTGTATTTGATGCAAATCTCAATGAAAGTATCTGAAATTTACACTTGCATTTTTTTACCAAATTAGTGTTGATTTTACCACGAAAAAAAAAATAGTGAACAAATAAAAAAAAAAGGAGCAAATTTTAGTAAAAATAAAAAAATAAAAACGAAATACAAAACAGAGTGTTGGATTTCAAAACTTATTTAGTAAATTGTTTGTTTGGTTGACTTTTTAGATTTGTTTTTCTTTCCAAAATAGAAATTAATTTGGCGAAAATAAGCACTAATATATATCAGCTGTGATTAGGACCCCCTCATATTCCCACCCCCACCACCCCCACACACGTGGGGGTTGGTGAGTGGGAGAGAAGAAAAAAAAAAAAAAAAAAAAAAACAATTTTGACCAATCAAAAGACAAAGGGGGTCGTGGGGTATCTTTGAAAGGGGGTCTCAGTCTTTTTTGAATATATATATATGTATACATTCAAATTGTTAAAAAATATTTTTTCCTCAAAAGAGAGAAAATCATTATGAATGTTTTTCTTTCATTACTTTTATAAGGCTAGGTGTTTTTTTTTTTTTTTTTTTTTGTGTGTGTGTGTGTGTAAGACAATAAATTTTGAAAACTGAGCCAAACAATATCTCAAATTTATGTTTGTTCAAATGAAAACACTAAGGCTCCATTTATTTGGTCGTAAAATATTTTTCACGTAACTTAATTTTGAGCAAAAATAAATTTTTATTTTTATTTTCAGGTGTTTGGTTAACACTTAAATTAGTTTTCACAACCAAAAATCTTAATAGAGAACCAATTATAAAGTAAACTTTACAACAAAAATCTTAAAAGAGAACTAATGATAAAGAAAAAAAAAAAATGATATTCATACACAATTTTCATGTACAATTGGACATAAATTATCGATTTTAAACTTTCAATGAGTAGATATAAATGCGGCACATTATTATACATAAAATTTTTGTGTACAAATTTTGTTTATATATCATTACTTAAGAATAAAATAAAAAAATGATTGAATGCAACAAAAATAATAATCCCCAAACTGAATTTGGGCCAATTGCTCAATCATAATATATATACATAAAATCAAATTAAACCAAACCAAATTAAGTTTTAAGTTTCATTAAATGGAATTAATCATACGAATTCTTCTTTCCCATTTGATTTTATTAAGGACTATTTGGTTATAGTCAAATTCAGGAGATTTTTATCTCTACTTACGGAACTATCCCACTTCAATATATGTCTATCCCTTCCCCTAGATTATATCTCTATTTGGTTATTTGGTTAGATTATATCTTTATTTGGCTATTTGACTATTTGATTCGATTACATGATTCTTCATATCTCTATTTGATTATTTGGTCAGATTATATTATATAATGTAGATAGAGAGAATAAAGACGCTCAACTTAAAATCTAGGTTGAATCCTATTGAGCCTGATTAAAAAAATATATATATATATTTAAAGGTAAATCAATTTACCTTTTATGATAAAACATATTTTACGTAAAAAATATTATACTTAGTTTTTGACCATCAAACAAAGGAAAAAAGGGAAAATATTAGCCTACATATATAAACGATAGGTACTTTGAATTTTGTGTGGTTGTTTATGAAAACATGAAAAAAATTTAAATAAATAAAGAATACCAAAGTTACAAAAATAGTAAACATAAGAAAAGTAAGGAAAAACCTGAGGCTGAGCGCAAAATACTGGGAGAAGGAGATGAAGAATGATGAGAATAAAGTATGTAAGAATAAAGTGATGATTCTTCATCTCTTACGTCGTTTTTTTTTTATGTAAGATTTGATAAATTAATGTGGAATCAAATGAATTCAAATGGTTGATTTCATTAGAATTTGCGTGGGAATCAAATGAATGATTGATTGATTGAATGATTTCGACACCATTAATTGATTGAATTAATTTGCCACCACTAATTGATTAGACAATTAGCTAATTCATTGGATTACTTGTACACTAATAACTGATTTCCTAATCAATTACCTGTCTACCAGTTGCCTTCAATATTGAGTCCAAAATTGTTAGTCTATTCTCTCTCTCTCTCTCTCCCTCACAAGTGGAGCTACCTTATCTCCTAAATTAATTTCACTGGGGACTTGGTTGCCTCATTGGGTCTCTCTGTTCCCGGTTGTTTTTATTTTGCTAGTTGATGCCTTTTTTTCCTAGTGGTATCCTGGCAAATGATTGGACATGTTTGGCAACGCCAACCTAGTTGGAATGACTTAACGTTGCTTTGATACCTTTTGCATCCACCTTGCTTTTTTGATGTATGTTTATATGCTTGTTCATATTTTTTTCATCAATGAAATTTTTTTGCCGATTAAAAAAATAATAATAATAAATAAAGAAAGGAAAAAAAAAAAAAACAAAGGACTAATTGAGTAATAGTAGGTTGAAATTTTTTTGATGATTTGGAACACAATATTGAATGATGAAAATTATTATTAGACATTTAAATTTAATCTTTTGGATGAAAATTATTATTAAATATTAAAATTTAAAGTTTTTCTTATATTTATTTAGAGATCTAATTGATATTTTGTTAGGAAAGATGAAGTTTCAAATGAAATTTTGTTGCCACGTTGGCAATTGATTATAGATTGCAGTCGGCAGTGGGGGTAAATTGATCCAAATCGATTAGTTTAGATGCAAAATTTATATTATTAAAAGAACAAGGGTTAAGTAGATTTTTAACTAATAGTTTGAGGGGCAAAATTAAATTCTTTTAAAGATTCATTATTTATTTTAATGGATTTTTTTACACCTAAAAAAAATAGCGTTTACGAAAATTTATGGTAACATTTATGTATTTTTGTGGATTTATCACAAAACTCAGTATTTTTGTTACAACATACCTAGTGATTCTTTCATAACAAAATGCGTAAGCAGAGCCGGCTCAGACATTTAGGGTACCCAAAACGAACTCTTGATATGGGGCCTCTCATACATTTAAAAAAAAAAATTATGATTAAAAGATTATATATTTAAATTTTGATAATATATAATTATTAATATTTTTTTAAATATATAACAAAGTTTACAATAAATAAAAAAAATAAAATAATTCAAGCTGAAATACTAAATAAAAAATGAACAAACTGTACACTTAAACACCACCCTTCTCATATTTTTAACTAAAAAATGCTAATTTAATTTGCATAATTCAAATTATTAACTAAATCATTTTCAATGGATTAAATTGCTAATACATTCAATTTTTCTTGTGACATAGTTAACCGAAGATAAAATTTAATCAATTTTAAATTTGAAAAGTTTTTTTTTCCTAGAAACAATTTTAATTGGTATAATTAATCGTGTTCAATATGCAATCCATACATTTGAGAAATAACCATCTATTAATTTAAAATAATTCACCATATCAATCGAGTTTTTAATTTTTGCCAATAAAAATATTCATTCATTTGTTTTAAATAATTCACCACAACAATTAACTATTAGTTTTGAATTTTCAGCAAACTTTGTCGGGATTTTTTGAATTTAGATAGATTTTTTTGTGGACTAACGTATAATAGCTGAAAAAATTTGGGTCCTTTTTTTCACAATTTTTTAGAGCCCATAGTGGCGGCTTTCGGCCAAAGCCGACTCTATGTGTAACATACAATAATTATACTTCTAATACCTAGCCCTCCTTGTTTTACACTCTTAGATAATTCATCCCACTTAACCAAGTGAATTGACTATTTTTATCTCAGATCCACCCCAAAGGAATGCGGCCTACATCTTTTCTAATTCTCTTGCAACCCCTTTTGGCATTCTAAACAAGGACAAATAATACATAGACAGGGCAGAGGTTGCAACCTTCTAAGGATCGTTAAAGGAAGCCTTCTCTACCATTAAAGTTGGTATCATCTATCTACCCCTTTCGTGTCTCTTCTTTTAGAGAAATTTGTGTATGTCAATAGGGTATCACATGTTACTACTTTCCGTCAATCACAAATGTATTTACTTCTTATTAATTTCAAACACCCAACATAAATGTTATGAACTCTATTGTCAAATTTAATCACAAGTAGAAAGTATCACATCGCATATACCTTATCCTCATACAAAATTTATTTCTTTTGCTCTTTTGTTTTTGAGAGGGTAATTTATGTGAATAGATTGGGCAGAGCTAAGTCCATCATTCCCAAACTTTGGGCCGAGCTATGGGCCAAGGTGGTTCTGTGATAGCCCGGTCTTGGGCCAAGTAGACACCAATTCAGTCAGAGGTGTCACTAGGGCCTGGACCTGGCTGTCTAAGGGTAGTCCGGTAACGAACCGGGAAATGATTAATAAAGAGGGCCGAGCTAAGTTTAGCTCGGAAGAGCACCATCTTCATTGAGGTTACCATGACTTCCAACGATAGAGCAGAGCCAAGATAGCTCTATGGGTTACGGTGACAGCCGAAGTACAAGATTTTGACCATCTCACTTGGTTGGCAGTGAGTAGGATGTTATCAGGATAGGCATTATCCTGTGGGAAAATGATTCCTAGGAGGACTCTCGTAAGGAGCGTTATAGTCCTACTAGGAATGTGTCTGGCGAAATCTATAAAAGCTCATAACAGAACCTATGGACAAGTATTGCAATTTTTACTCTCAAAGACACAGACTTTATTGTCTATTGTCTACTTGCTGACTTAGGCTTCGGAGGAGTTTTTGACACACACCCACCGGCTAGCTTACATGTGTTTTCAGGTAGCAAAAGGACAACGTTCGGAGGAGTGCAAACTTGGTTAACAGGATTATATGAGAAGATTATTTCGTGCTCGTACAATTGGCGCCGTTTGTGGGAAATATCACAAAGAACTAACCTTTTGATTAAGTTTTTCTTCAACTCATTTCAATGGCACACAACGAAGACTTGCTCCATTCTACTATTGATAGACAAACTCCAAAGGGGGACAAGAGGAGCGAGGATTTGCCTTTTGTCCAGCCCATGGCATAATTGGATCCCTAATGACGGAACCCAAGGAGAGGCGCATGAGAAAAATAGTGCTCAAGTCCTTGTTGCTCTCAAAGCCCAGATGGACAAAGACGGAGGGTGGATTCTCAAGTTCTGAAGGATCGCGTGAAGAAGGAAGATGAATTGATAAGGAGAATGGCGGCTGACATGGTGACCATAAAGCACCAGATGAAAGGCAAAGGGGTGGAAGGGAAAGCGATTCGCGAATGTAGAACGCGTTCTTGCCACTCAAGCGATCGCAACAAGCGTGTCACTCCATCGCAATCAGAAAGCATAAGTCTCAAGGCAGGCGACACACAATCAAGAACCTCCAGGACTCATTACTCTAGGTCTGAGAGAACGAGGACTGAAAGGTCTTACACGGAGGGAAGCCGTTATCAACCCTCACATATGGATCAACACTTCTCAGCACACTGAGTTGCCTAGGTCGGCAGAGCTGCGGACCGTGCTAGAAGAAAGGGCTCAAAGGAGAGAAGACACCTAGGCACTCATTCTCCAAAGGGTCTCTTCTCTACAACAGTTGGCTTCTCAGACACATGGAAGTGTCGAGGTTGGAATGCCAATGTCACGCCTTGCTTATGAACCGGCAGACAAAGCATTTGCATGGTTGCAAAGCTCGCCGTTCATTCCGGCAATAGAGAACGCACCATGACCCTTGGGCTTTAATCAGCCTAAGTTCACATCCTATGAAGGGAAGTTAGACCCCTACATGTACTTTCGCCACTTTCGCCAAGTTATGGCCATACATTGACGGAACGAGGCTCTAATGTGTATTTCGTTTCCATCAAGCTTAGGTGACCTGGGCTTGACTTGGTTCGAGAGGCTACCAGAAAGTAGCATCGCTTCATGGGCACAATTAGCAGAGGCGTTTGTCACCAGGTTTAAGACAAACACGAAGACCCCCGTAGAAATAGACTAGTTACTCGCCACTGACATGGGCAAGAAAGAAACGTTGAAGGTTTACAACAATAGGAATTAGGAGACCTTCAACTAGATAGGCAATTGTCCCATCAACCTAGCTATCACGCAGTATAAGCGGGATTTGTCGGTAGGCCATAAGTTGAGGGATTCAATAAAAATGACGCCACCCCTCATGATGGAAGCCCTGATAGAGAGAGTGCACCAGCACATCAGGGTACACGAGGATGGCGCTCGAGCCAAGGCAAAGTCTAGCACAACGGCGATGTTAGACAAAAAGCTTGTAACAAAAGTTAACACGATCAGTCGGGAGGACAGACCAAACAAAACAGGATGAGGTGGAGGACCAAACGGTGAGGACTCCCAGGGAAGGAGGTTGAGAGTCTGCACCACCACCACCATGGTGTTCAAGAAGCGTATCTACCAGATTCTTAGCAAGATACGTGACGAACCCTTTGTTCGGCGGCTAGCCAAATTGGGAGAGGCACAAAGGGGCTGCGATGATAGATTTCGGTGCACCTTCCATAATGAAATGGGGCACCGAACTAAAAATTGCACGCCACTGAGGCATCATTTGGAAGAGTTAGTGGCCGTGGGCCACCTGAACCAATACATTAAAGGGGGACCTCAACTAGCCCTCCAGGACCGTAATGGACCATATGGGATGCCAACCGAAGGTTCGCTTCAAGGCGTAATCAACGTGATACATGGGATCATCAAGTCTGAGCAATTCTGCTAGCTTAGAGGAATGATTAAGAAGGCATAGTACATGAGGGAAGTGCTAAGTGAACAACCTACCGTAAAAAAAAAAAGGAAGAAAGAAGTGAAAAGCTTCATCACCTTCTCTGATAGGGACTTAGCAAGGTTGCAAAGCTTTACAACGACATGCTAGTGGTTACTCTGCATGTTAATAATTTTGACATCGAGTGAATCTTGATA